AGGCTTCACAGAGGCTTTAAAGTCTTTTGACCTTTTTTGTATATTTGGATAAGATTAAACAGCACACGGGGGATTGTTTAACGGGTGTGGAGTTTCAGTTCTGCAAGATGAAAATCGTTCTGGAAGTTGGTTGCACAGCAGTGTGAATGTCTTTAACACGACTGAACTGTGGGCTTAAAAATGGTTAATGTGGTACAATTTGTGATGGGTGTATTTTGCCACAATTTTTAACAAATTACATGGCACGTTTTGAAAGCACTTCTAATTAAATGTGCAATACTGATCTTTCATCATCAACCTTAAAACAAAATTGTGCAGGTCACAGCCAGGAGATACCTTTTGTTTCCTCCTTAGGTGTGTGTGTGTCCCAGAGCACCTGTCTAAAAGGCAGGGCGTCCACTGTCGAGGTCAGAACCCCACGTCCACGGGTGTCGCACTCTGCCTGTTTGACCTCCCTTCCTGTTCCTGCTCAGGTTGGCTGCAACCCTAACGAAGACGTGGCTATCTTTGCTGTGGACTCGTTAAGGCAACTCTCCATGAAGTTTCTGGAGAAGGGAGAATTAGCCAACTTCCGTTTCCAGAAAGATTTTCTGAGGCCCTTTGAGCATATCATGAAGAAAAACAGGTACGTGCATTGTTTTGAAAGACCTTTGGTCAAATTCCCCATTGGGCCCCTAAAAAGACCCCCCACAATTACTAACTACGTAATTTTTTCCTCCTCTCCTAGTGGAAGCAAATGAAATGAACAGCTCTAAGTTTTTGGTGCAGCGGGGGGACTCTCAGGCGTAACCCTTTATGTCGGTCCCACCCCTAAAAAGGGTAGAATCAGACCTGCTTGGATCACTGCTGTAAAAAAGAAAATGAAAGCTCATAGGCTTAAACACTTGGAGCCTGTGTGAGCCATTCGAGGTAGCAAAACAGGGCAGCAGAGAATTCTCCTTGACATACTTCTCCTTTTCTTGGTGCCCGTATCCTTTACCTTATTGCTTATTTTAGGAGAACTAAAATGAAGCCCCTCGGAGCCTGGCATCACCCCTGACTTTTGCATTTGCACAGAAACACCCCCTCCTGCCCCTGGCACACTGTTGAGAAAGCTGCAGGGGCCTGGGGCCTCCTGGAGCGGAGCACCGTGCTCCAGCCTGCCGGGCGGGCAGGCACCCCGATGGCCCCAGAGCCCCTAGTCTCCTACCTCCAGGCCTTCCCTGCCTGTCCTGCCGGTGTCCCGCAGCATTTGAAAAGGGCCAGAATATGTTTAGAATCGTGTTGCCAGCCATTCTCAGACCGTGTTGGTGGAACTGTAACTTCCTATGACATTTTCAGTGGTATTTTGGCAACATACATACATCAAGAATCTTAATATTTTTGTGCCCCTTGACTCAGTAATTCTGTAACCATCTCCTAAGGAGTTGATTTGAAACATAATCTTGTGAGTCACACAAAATAGCTTTTAAATAAACAGAAACCAGCCCTGGCCAGTGTGGCTCAGTTGGTTAGAGGGTTGACCTGTAACTGAAAGGTCCCTGGTTCAATTCCCAGTCAGGGCATGAACCTAGGTTGCAGGTTTGGTCCCCGGTTCGGGTGCATATGGGAGGCAAACAATTGATGCTTCTCTTGCATCAGTGTTTCTCTTTCTCCCTCATTCTCGCTCTAAAAGCAATGAAAAAATGTCCTTGGGTGAGGATTTAAAAAGAAACAAAACAAAACCAGAAACCACCTAAATATACACAAGTGTTGAAGTCACTGTTGGTACTGTCACAGCATGGAATATTATGCAGCTGTTAAAATCACTCACAAAGTTTATAACATGGGAGATGCTTAATAGTTCAGTGAAAAGGGCAAGTTATAAAATCGAACAAAGTATGATAAAGAGAGTGATATATAGTTCCCCATATACAACACTATACCATCATATTAAGGAATTTTTTTCTTTCATTTTATTTTTTCACATTTTCTAAAATGTTTACTAATGTCCCCATATATTACTGTTAACAATCAGATAAAAACCATTTTAATAAACACTTTTAGTTCTTGCCAGTAGGTTGCTTTTTCCCCGTGGGAAAACAACCATGAGTTTCGGCGCATTGTCAAAGTCACCTAGGTCTGTATCTGTCCCCCAGTATCACAGGTGGCAGGTTTGCTTTGTGGATTTTTAGCTAATTTTTAACTGCTTTGACTTTCTCCTTACCTTCTCTAAATGACCTTTCTATTATTATCATTTAGTCTGGGGCCAGCAGACAAACATGAATGTTGTTTTAAGCCAGATGACATTTGCAAGCAGGTGAAGTCTGCAATCCAAAAGCCACTGTGCTGACTCTCAGAGCCAGTGCTGTAGGAGCTGTAGGTTTATGTGGCCTTGCTTCCTGCTCTCTGTGAGGTGACAGAGGGCACCCAGTAATTGCATGTGCCTCGGGAGGCTGCAAGACATATGTGCTAGTCTGTTACAGATACCCAGGTGACACCATGTTGAATCTCAAAGTGGCTTCAGAAAATGGGCCATTTTTTCTATCTCCATTTGTGTTTTATTTAAATTTAAAATATTGCATCCAACACCTGAATTCCAGACTCCCTGAAGATGGGTTTGAGAATTAATTCTCTCATCTTCTCGAGCTGGGCCTTCTAGATCAATAAACCTTTTCTTTCTCCTCCAACCCCTGCCAAAAAGTAAGTGTGTGTGTGTGTGTGTGTGTGTGTGTGTACTTCCATCCATGTAAATGTGCTTGCCGTACATGTATATCTCTGCCCAAACATCTAAGAGGAGACAGACACACTACGAATTTCGGAATGGTCATCCATGGGTGGCACAATTATGAATGTATTAGTCTAAATGTTTTAGGCCAGAGAAGCCAACCAACAATGGCCAAAACCACAGGGCCCTGTATTGTTTACCTACTGAGTCAGCAGCATGCAGCCCCATCTTTGGTTTCATAGCCCAGACTGTCACCAGGGACCCAGGTTCTTCCCATTGCTTTGTTTGGCCGTCCACAGGGTCACGTTTCATCCTCGAGTCTGTTGTGTTCTGACTGTAGGACTGAAGCTCCAGCTCCAGCTGCCATGCAGTGTTCAGAACCAAAATAAAAGGAAAAGGGGCAGAGCCTGCCGTGTCTACTCCTTTTAAGACAAACCTTCCCAGAAACTTCTCCTCCCCACTCCTGTAGTTTCTCTCTGGCATCTAGTTAGAGCAGGCCAGGGGGTCCCTTAGCGTAAGGGAGGCTGGGCTCCGTAGACCTGGCACGTGTGCAAGGTCGCCGTGTTGTCTTGGGCCGTCCGCGATCCATTTCCTGCAGGCGGGCAGGCTGCTGCCTGGGTGAAATCAGAGTTTCTGTTATTTCTGTCACCAGAGAGCTGGAAGGGTGGCTGCTGCGTAGGCCACTGGCTGTCTGCCACAGGGGTTCTTGTATTTTTCTTAATTGGCTCTAATATTTTTTTAATTCGCTGAAGAAGTTTATTTGAGGCCAGCTGCCCACGTTTGCCAGGAAGCAAGTCTCAAATGCTCTGGAGAATAATAGTTTTGTACCTTCTCGTATGCATGTGAAATCAAGAAGGAGCCGTAAGGAACATTACGTGACAGTGGGAAAGAGCAAGGCAGGGGTCGGATGGCAGGACAGTCAGCAGGATTGTGTGTTCGAAGGTGTGTGAACCTGGATGCACAGAAGCGACGGACAGCTCTTGCTGGGCGTGACCGCTCACCGCGACCTGCCCCGCCAGGTGGTTACGGTCAGTACCCCGTGAGGCTGCTGCCCACAGGGACTCTGTTGTCCACGGCTCCTCCTCTTAGTCAGAAATCAAGCCAAAGGACATGTTCATGACCAGGCTTTGGTCAGATGTCGTCTCTAATTTTTTTTAATGGAACGTGGATTACTGTGTGCTTTAGGGAGATATTTTGGAGTGCTGCTTCCATGTGATGAGCTGTGTTCATATGTCTTCCCACTGGCCCCTTCCTCCTCAGGTCGCCGACCATCCGGGACATGGTGATCCGCTGCATCGCCCAGATGGTGAACTCCCAGGCGGCCAACATCCGCTCGGGCTGGAAGAACATCTTCGCCGTGTTCCACCAGGCCGCCGCGGACCACGATGGGAACATCGTGGAGCTGGCCTTCCAGACCACGGGCCACATTGTCAGTAAGTGGCTCTGTTGCCTCGGAACATCCCACCTGCACGTCTAGCACAGTGACCATTTACTTCCTGTCTGTTTTGCTCCCCAGAAAGGGCTTCCTTGGTTCAGCCATACCGTGACACCATAATGTGCCGGGTGATGTCTCCTGAGTTTTGACACATGCTTAGACAAGTGCATAACAGCCCCGTGAGGGAAATCCTGTCAACCCTCACTGTTCGCCGATTCCGTGTTTGTGAATTCACCTATTGCTAAAATTTTTACATAACCCCATAACCAGTATTCCCGGCACTTTTTAAAAAAAGATTTTATTTATTTATTTTTAGAGAGGGGGAAGGGGAGGGAGAATGAGAGGGAGAAAAACATCAGTGTGTGGTTGCCTCTCATGTGCCCCCCTACTGGGGAACTGGCCTGCAACCCAAGCATATGCCCTGACTGGGAATCAAACCAGCGACCCTTTGCTTCACAGGCTGGCACTCAGTCCACTGAGCCACACCAGCCAGGGCTATTCCTGGCACTTTTGTGGTCATTTGTGGACACACACAGAACAACAAAACACTCAAGTCACCCAAGGTGTGTGTTCCCAGCTCGTTGAATAAGGCAGTGCTCTGCCTTCTTGTTTCAGCTCTTTTACTGAGAATAAACAAGTGCCCTTTTTGTGGTGTACTTACTGCCTCGTTTTTTTTGCATTTTTGTCTTATTGCTGGTGACTTTGCCATCTAAAATGGCCCTGAAGCCCTGGCCACGCAACTCAGTTGGTAAGAGCATCGTGCCAACACGCCAAGGTTGAGGGTTCATTCCCCAGTCGGGGCACATACGAGAATCCACCAAAGAATGCATAAGTGAGTAGGACAGCAGATCCGTGTTTCTGTCAAAGAAAAAAAAAATCATACTTGCCTGGCAGGGGAGATACCGTGATCACAAAGGTGGTTTTCCCAGGTCCAGGCCCACCCACTGCACTCCAGACGTGCTGACCCCCGCGATTTCCCCAGATGTGGGGAACTCACCTGCATGATTTGTGGTAGTGGGGGACTGCGTTCGCACTCTCCCCTAAAAAAAAAGACCAAGAAATAAAAATGTAAACACTATGTAAGTAAATAAAATTGGTCTGCAGCGTAGTGCTAACGTGGGGTCCAGTGTCCCTGAGCACAGGAAGGCTGTGTTGTGCCTTCGGCAAAGGTATGTTGTAGATAAACTTCATTCAGGCGTGAGTTCCAGTGCTTTTGTTGGCTGTAAGTTCGTTGTTAATTAATCAAAAACGTACATTAAATACGATGTCTTTAGACAGAGGCAGAAAGCAAGTGTATGTATCGATCGGTTGATGAAGACGCTACGGCCAGAGGCTCACAGGAGCCTAACCCTGTGTCTCCCCTAGGAGCGACGGTTCAGTGTTCACAGCCACTTTGTAGAAACTAACATAAGTAACGGGAAGTGACAATACCACCGTTTTACCCCATTTTACTGAAGGGGGTTCCGAGGCACCAAAAAGACAGGAGAACAACATGCCGAGGCCGCGCAGCTCGGAGCTGGCGGAGCGGGTTCACATCGGGCAGCCCAGCCCGGAGCTGGCGCCGTGACCCTCCCCTCCGGCCCGACCAGAGTTTCTGGGCCTGCCTGTGCTCCCGTAGCAAGACGTTCACTGCCCTTGGTCTTTGTGGGAATTGTAAGGCATTGGGTCAGCTTTCGTCCTTTTTGAGGTCTTTTAACTTTTTGTAAACTTCTCGCTACTCATGTATTTCTTTTATGTGGTATTTGTAGGGTTTAGAAAACCTTAGGTTTCTAAGTTGCTTTTCACCTTAGCTCACTGACCTTCTTCATCTTCACAAAATCCCATATGGCATGGTAGTGTGAGGTGTGGTCCTCGGGAGGACACCCCCGGAGAATGAAGGGACGTGTTCAGGGTCACAGAGCGGGGCCGGGGCCTCGCCCGGGGCTCAGCGTCTGTCAGGAGACCCCGGTGCGCCAGCTTCGCTCCCAGATCAGTGATGGCCTCTTGCGTGGTTCCGCCAGCTCCCCTCTGGACCGGCTCAAGTTCAGTGGACACCTTGGCACCCTGGTGCAACTCAGTTTTCCCGTGGCTCCCCATGGCCCTCTCTCACTTCCGTAGGGGCACTTCTCAGGACCTCTGCAGAGGCCCTCCCTGACCACCGGCCTGAGCAGCCCCTCTTAGCTTCTGCCCCTTGGCCAGAACGCACCCCACCCAGGGTTATCTTACACGCATCCTGAGTTAAGTGATTGTTGTCTGTCTCCCCCGTGGAGCATGAGCGTCGTGAGGGCAGGAAGTCTGATTCATCATCTCCGTGTCCCCAGGGCCCATAACCGTGCTCTGCATGTAGTTGGCACTCAGTGTTTATTGAATGAATGACTCTGTTTATTGCTGCTTGAGCTCAGGAAACACTTTAGCCCAAACTGTACTCAGTGCACTTGGTCCTGAATAGTTTACTAAGAAGCACTAGCTTTCAGAAAGAGTAACATGCTTTGCTTAGACTTTCACAAGAGAAATCCTCTCTGGGGGGTATGTATATGTCTAATCCCCATTTCTAAATCCTGGCCTTATTTTTTTTTTTTTTAATATATCCCTTTGTCTCCCCAGCAACCATTTTCCAGCACCATTTCCCTGCAGCCATCGATTCCTTTCAGGACGCTGTGAAGTGCTTGTCGGAGTTTGCCTGCAACGCCGCTTTCCCGGACACCAGCATGGAAGCCATCCGGCTCATCCGCTTCTGCGCGAAATATGTCTCCGAGAGGCCGCGGGTACGCGTCCCCTTCCTGGCGCACGCGCGGGCGGCGAGGGGGAGTAGTCGTGGGGCCACAGCCCTTCCTGCTGACCGAGACCGTTCCAGCTCTCTCCGGGAAATGCGTGTTTGCCTAAACGAGGGGTTTATTTCAAAAGGCTGCCGTTGTGGGGTTACACCTTTTCTGTATTTTGTGAGTCACCCGAACTTTTATATCGTATCCTACTAATTGTTTTGTAGATGATAATAGTATTTTAGCTTTGAATTTTGGCAAAGCTGAAGCTGAAGAAGCTAGACCTTTTATTTGAAGGAAAACAGCCCTCCCTGTTAGGGAGTGACATTGTGCCATCGTGACGGGCCTGAGAAATCACATTGGAAAGCGCCTTTGGTTTTCTCCTGGAAGTGTTCGGGGTTTTTCTGTTATGTGTCACCTGTCTGAAGCGGCCTGCTGGGTTTGAATGACAGTCTCAAAGCCAGGAAACTGAGTGGAAACAAGCACAACTAAACTCTGGTGGCCTGCACAGAGCCCTTAAGCACTCTTTACAGAACTCTGAACACCCGTGTTGTGTGTGGTGCCCGCAGCAGCTCATTAAGGTGCAGGGAAAAGGAGAGCCATTGTTGGCTGCGTATCAGGCACCATTCCAGGTACTGTCTGTGCGTTGACTTATTCAGTCCCCTCCGCAGACCTGTGAGATGGGTAACTGTATCCCCACTGTGCGGGGGAGTTACCCGAAGCACAGAGAGTAATCGCCAAATGTTAGGTCACCAGAGTTGATAAAGAAATTCCGTGACAACAGACAGTACCACTTCAAGAGCAGTTACAGAGCAGAGGGCTCAAAATGCTGTCTAGGTCTTTACATCTAGACTGTGGAAAGAGTGCCAGCTCATAGGTGCATGACCTTGGGCAGCTTACTTAACCTCTTAGTGCCTCAGTTGATGCGCCTGTAAAATGGGACCACTATTTCTACCTGCCTCCTGGAATCGTTGTGAGAATTGACAGTCCACACAGAGCACCTTCACGGTTCCTGGCCCATAGCAAGCACTCACTAGTAGTAGCTGCTGCTGCTGCTATTATTTCAGGCACTGTAGTGACATTTTAGAAGGACCAGAGATACTGAATCATCCCTTGCTGAATGGACGTGTGGGGCCTTCCTGTCTGTGTAGTTCCTTTTCAGCTCCTTCCTGCTGCCTGCTAGTCTGCATCCACAGCGACTCTCATTGCAGGTGCTACAGGAATACACGAGCGATGACATGAACGTGGCTCCCGGTGACAGAGTCTGGGTCCGAGGCTGGTTCCCCATCCTGTTTGAGCTCTCCTGCATCATCAATAGGTGCAAGCTGGACGTGCGGACAAGGTAACCCTGCCCTTGCAGCACCCTCCCATCACTGAATGAGCCTCGGCCCCCTGCTCACCTGACCCCATGCTCCCCCCCTCCCCCCGCCCCCTTCTCGGCTGCGCACTTCCCCTCCCCATGCCCTCTTCCGCGCCCGGCTTTGTTTGCTCCAGAGGGCTCACGGTCATGTTCGAGATCATGAAGAGCTATGGCCACACCTTTGAAAAGCACTGGTGGCAGGACCTGTTCAGAATCGTGTTCAGGATTTTTGACAATATGAAGCTGCCAGAGCAACAGTCGGAGGTAGGTGAGGGCTAAGGCACTGCCCTGGGTGAGATGGGAGACAGGCCTCTCCAGCCTGTGTCTGCCTCCAGGGGTTGTGTCCTCATCCACTTGGAAGTCTTAAATACTGAGCCACTGAACGGGTGTTTTTAAGATGGTGACGCCCTTCCTGGCACTCGTCTCCCGTCACCAGTGAGTACAAGAAGGCCCCCCTGCCTGGGACAAGTGAGAGGAAATTCATCCCTGGGCTCCGCCCACATGGCCCTCAGGCATCATACCTGCCCCACCAGCAGGGCACCTGACTGGGCCACTTACTGTTGGCTCATACCAACTTCTGAACAGTCAGTAAAAGCTGGAGTGACTCTGGTCCCTTAAAAACACATTAAACAGGTTTTTAATGAAGTTACAGTTGGATGGCGTCAGCAAATACCAGGCCTTTTTTTTTAAAGGGCGTCCAATGCTTCTAGTTGTTGTTATTTCTTCCCTAGGGGAAGGGGGGTGGGGAGAGGGCATTCTAGCTCAAGGTTTTAACACAGGAAAATAATTTTTTTACCTTCTTTTAGGAACAGCATTCCCCCTCCCTCCCCCCCCCCCCGTGTAAAAGGAATATATGCTTAGTGTGGAATATTAGGCGTGCACACAAATTCATCACTTTGCCGTTCGGAAATCAGAGCTACTGTTTCGGCAGACATCCCTCTCTCTTCCACATGGATTCAGTAGGGTTGAGATCGTAGTACAGATACAGTTTTTAACCTTATTTTAAAATAATTAAAATTTTTCTTCATTATAGAACAAAGCGGAAAACAGAAAAACAAAGAAAAAATTTAAACATGCACAGTTCCAAACCTCCACAGGGACCACTTCCAACCCTTTCAGACATGCCGTGTGTGTGTGTGTGTGTGTGTGTGTGTGTGTGTGTGTGAGACACACCTGTTTCATAGAAATGGGATCCCCTCGCACATACTGTAAACTGCCCTTCGACTTACTCATTGAATATTTCTCTACGACCAAGTCTTGTCTTCTGTGGTGTTTTTAAGGACTGCAAACCATTCCTGCCTGTGGACGTTCCATAGTCCATGGAAAATTGTTTCCCCTCTTTCTTTCTTCAGAAAGCACTGGAATAGATGTTTTTGCAGCTACACTTTTGCTTATTCTCTTACCTTTTTGGGCTTGCGCACTACTGAGGCTTTTGAGCTGACACACTGCTAAGCTGACCTCCAGATACACTTGTGGCTGTTCACACTTCTGCCAGCCGTGCTCGGAGATCCGGCTTCCCCGTACCCACTCCGGCTCTTCATAGTTTAACTTATTTAATCGTTAATTTGACAGTCCCAAGTGTCACATTAAAAACGTTAAATTGCTAGCGAGGTTGCGTGTTTTCCCTCATGTCATTGATCACACATGTTCCTCTGTGAACTGTTTTCATGTCCTTAGCCCATCTGTTGGGTTTTTCATCTCTTTCCTATTGATCTGTGAGTTTTTTAATACAGAAGTAACAGAGCGTACCCTCGCATAAATTTCAGATGATTTTGCCCAGTTTGTTTTCTCTTTTCCTTTTTGGAAAATTTTAGCTTTTAAGTAACCACATCTGTCAGTTTTTTTTCACTATGGTTTCCACTTTCTTGGGATCATGCTTAGCAAGCCTTCCTTTTTTCATGATTATATAAATCTGCATATTTCTTCTGGTAATCGTACAGCCTCG